AGACCACAGAGTGGTGACTGCTGGGTAGGAGCAGGAGACATATGCAGAGACATTTGAATCTCGATTTCTTTAATTCAGCTGTAAAGGCTTAAACAGGAAAAAGAAAACTTGCTGGCCCAACAGGAAATGTGTCTTACTTCAAAGGGAGAATGCAAACAACCGTATAGCTAGGCTTAATAAACTGTTGTGTCTACCACAGAATTACCCTAATTGAGTTCTGTGTCTTGTCCTGCCACAGCCTCCAGAGTGTTTAAGTGCATACTGATGGACACAAGAGAAACAGCGCGCTCAATAAGCAAAAGTTTGGATATTTTCTCGAATTATTTTGTTGTTTATTTTCAAAAGGTACTTAAGTTACAAATGAGCTGTACAAATATTCATGAAAGTCAGTGAGTTATATCTGAGATTCAAAGTAAGGAGATGTCAAGAAAGACTGTCATAATCCTGCCCCCACCTTCCCCTCAGGAAGTCCTCTGCAAGCTCCACACAGCCCCCACCTCTCAGTCCAAACTTTGTTTTACATGATTGTCCCCGGTCGGTCCCCACCCTCCAACTTTTCCACTATGTCTCTGCCTTTTAAAAGGAAATTAGAATTGACAAGCCAAATTCTTTGATGAAGAAAGCCAACAGTGGGCGATTCCTCAAAAAAAAAAAAAAAAAAAAAAAAAGGCAAGAAGGTAAATAGTACTGAAACGATATATTTAAGAGACTTGTTCAAGCTTTCAGTTGGTTTACTCTTACAGGGTTCAGTGCCAAAGGGACTTCATTCAAATTCACACTGTGTGGGCATTCGGCTTCAAGAGCTGTGTAAAGCTGTCCAGAACAGAATTGAAGACTTTTTTTTTTTTCAGAGAAGGAACTGGTCACTAAAACATGCAATCCAATTTAGGCAATCATATAGTGTTAAACAATCTATAGCTCACTTGTACACGCGACTGAAAGCAGTGATAAACAAACCAAAATTGAACCAACTTTATTAAAGCCTGGGACAGATGCAAAGAGAAAAAGACCCTTGTCCGTGATAGGAAGCCCCTCCCCCACCCCTCCTTCTCTCTTCAAGCTTTTTCTCTTCTGGCCCCCAGGTTGCAAAGAAGGCAGGACTTTAAATATGGGAGAGGGGGAGGAAGCTCCAAGGTGTCAAAGAAGCAAAGCGCGCGGGGGCGGGGGGGGGGGTGAAAATAAAAGCAAAAGGGGTGGAGCGTAGTCAGGAACAACACGGAAGTTAGGTTACACTTCACGAGGTGAGAAAAGGTGACCCCATACCCTCGCCTTCCCACAGCCATACAAACCAGCTAACACCCTAAAAATACACAGTGCGCGGGAAGAGATACAGGGCCGGGCTAGAGGAGGCTTTCTGATGGAGGAGATGAGAGATGGTGGTTCTTTCGCTTCAGCCTTACCTCGTTGGACAAAATGCTTCCGTTGGAAATGATGTCTGGTTGCTGGTCGCTGTACCCGGTGACGATGGCTCCGCAGGGATTGTGCTCAGCGTCTGTACTCCGGGAAGGGCTGCAGGGCTTCAGGAACATCAGGTCGGTCTTGGCCGACTCCGGAGTGAGGCAAACCTGATAGCAATAGTTCTGGTTGTGATGATGGGAGCCAAAGCTCCCGGACTCTTCCACCGGCACCTGGGCTGGGTTGCTAGGGACGTTGGCGCTCTGCACCAACATGATATCTGACTTGCTGAGTTTCTTCTTGCGCGCCCGGGCTTGGCGGCCGCAGCAGGTGGAGCCCCCGCTGCCACAGCAGCAGCAGCAGAGGCAGCAATCGCTCGCTAGACAAGTATAGATGTTGAGTTTTTTCTCCTTTTGACAGCGCACGGCCAACACGATCATGGCCAGCAGAAAGATGAAGGACACTGAGCCCAGCGCGATGATGAGGATGAGTGTGAGGTCCAGTGAAGTTTCCCCGCTGCCGGAGCGGCTGGGGCGCTGGTGCTCCCCTGGCCCTCCGCCTCCTCCCCCGCCCCCGCCCTGGGGCTCCACGGCTCCATCCACCAGCTGAACAACCAGGGTGGCTGTGGAGGACAGGGGTGGCTGCCCGTGGTCGCGCACCTCGATCACCAGCTCGTAAGGCCGCTGGGGGTCGCGCTTGGCTGGGACCCGGCGCGCAGTGCGGAGCTCTCCGGTGCGCCAGTCGAGGCGGAATAGGTTCATTTCGTTGCCCCGCACGATGCTGTAGGTGAGCCTGGCGTTCTCGCCGTCGTCTGCGTCCACTGCGGCCACGCGAGTAAGCAGGTAGCCCGGCTCTGCAGAGCGCGGCAGCACCTCGCGGGCTGGAGTCCCGTTGCGCCCCGGCAGGGGCGCCACGATGGCGGGGGCGTTGTCATTCTGATCTACAATCAGAATGTTGACCGTGGCGTTGCCTGCCAGCGCCTGGGGGCTGCCGGCGTCCCGGGCTTCCACTTGAAAGCTGAAGTCCTTGATCTGCTCATAGTCGAAGGATCTCAGGGCGTACAAGTAGCCGTTGTCTGAGTTGATGGACACGTAGGTGAAGACGCTCATGCCCTGGATCTGGCACTCGAGGATAGAGTAGGTTAATTTGGCATTGGCCCCTTCGTCGCGGTCCGTGGCGCTCACCGCGTAAATGTAGGCTCCCGGCACGTTGTTTTCTGTCACATACACGTCGTAGACCGGCTGGCTGAAGCGCGGCGCATTGTCGTTCACATCTGACACTTGAACCTGGATCGACTTACTGGTGGAGAGTGCAGGTTCGCCCCGGTCGCGGGCCACCACTGTCAGGGTATAGGAGTCCCCAGCCTCTCGGTCCAAAGGGGCTTCGGTCACGATAGTGTAGTAATTCTTGAAAGAAGACTTGAGGCGGAACGGCACGTCTCCCAGCAGCTCGCACTGCACCTGCCCATTCTCCTCTGAGTCTCGATCGGTCACGCTGAACAGAGCCACCACGGTGCCAGGGGCCGCACCCTCGCTCACTGCCTCTTTCACGGTGCTGAAGCTGATCTCTGGTGCGTTGTCGTTGGCATCCAGGACTCTCACTAGCACCTTGCAGTGTGCAGGCACAGCATTGGGACCCAAATCCTTGGCTTGGACATAGACCTGGTACACTGGGCTCTCTTCATAGTCCAGCTCGCCGCTCACCTCCAGCCGGCCGGTGCGAGGCGACAGTCCAAAGAGCTCTCGAGCCCTGGGCGAAATGTGACTGCTAAATGAGTACACGACCTCGCCGTTCTGGCCTTCATCAGGGTCGGTGGCATTGAGCTGGATCACTAGGGTGCCAGGGGGTGAATTCTCTGGTAGGGACACAGTGTAGACGGGTTGGTCGAACGCCGGCACATTGTCGTTGGAGTCGAGTACTCGGATGGTGAGCAAGGCCGTGCCAGTGCGCTGCTGCTGGGGGGGCAGGCCGGCTCCCCCACCGCCTCCCCCTCCTTCCCCTCCTCCTCCCCCTCCTCCCCCGTCCACCGCGGTCAGCACGTAGCGGTGCACCGCTTGCTGTTCTCGGTCCAGTGGCTTCTCCAGCACCAGCTCGGCGAATCGGTTGCCATCTCCTTGGGTCTGCACGTCTAGAGAGAAGTAGCTATTCGGGGTTATCTCATAGTCTCGCAATGAGTTGGTCCCCACGTCTGGGTCGAAGGCGCTCTCCAAGGGAAAGCGGGTGCCTGGCGTGGCGCTCTCTGAGATCTCCACTGTCAGGTCCGGCTCCGGGAAGGAGGGAGGGTTGTCATTGATGTCCAGCACTTCGATCTCCACTCGGAACAGCTCCAGCGGATTCTCCAGGAAGACCTCTAGGTGCAGGACACAAGAGGGGCTCTGCTTGCAGATCTGCTCGCGGTCGATCTTTTCGTTTACATACAGAACCCCGGTCTCCAGATTGAGGTCCAAGTAAGGGGTCCGTGAGTTGGCCACAGTCTGAAACCTGCGAGCTGAAAGTTTTGTAATGTCCAAGCCCAGATCTTCCGCGATATTCCCCACGAAAGTGCCATGTTCCTGCTCCTCCTGCACTGTATAATGAAGCTGGGAAAAGACTCCGTCCACCATCCAGAGCAAGGCAAAGAATAACAGCACAATCATCTCCAAAGGAAAGGAAGCCGCTCCCCCGTAGCCAGTTAGCCACCCGATTACCTCCCCCACCACCAAAAGAAATAATAATCTCAAAAATATAAATAAAATAGTGTGCTACGTTGGGGGCTTCTGTGGCTGTCTTAAAATTTTTATTCCTTTTACTTCATTTTAGAGCTTCCCCAAATCGAGCCTCATTTTTCAATCTTAACGCAGAAAGGGTGACAGATGTCCCCTCTGCTCAGATGTAATCTTCCCACTGACCAATTAATAAAATAACGATAATACAATAGTCAGCCTCCTTTATTCCGACAGTCTTGGCGCAACGCGGCGCTGGCAAATCCCAAGGAGGAAATTTCGATATTTCAAGACTGTCCTAGGTTTGTCTTCTTCCTGATAGGAGGAGAACGTGGAGGAGGAAGAAGAGGAGGAGGAGGACGATGAAGAGGAAGAGAAGGAAGAAGAGATGCTGCCGGCACCGCTGAACATGCCTCTTGATGTCAATGGCTTGCAAACGCGAGCGGGCTCAGAGACAGCGAGAGAATTTGGTGCCGGAAAAACACGGGGCCGTTCTGCAGCATAAAACTTTCATTCTCTTCATTTCTCCGGGTGGACGTTCCTCTTGACATTTTCTCCCCTCTTTGGCTCTATTTGCATTTCTTGGCTTTCACAGTCTTGTCTGTGTCCTCAACCCAACCGTCCCTTGCTTTGCTGTAAACACAGCGAGCGGTTTCTTTTCTGTTGTTTCCTTCCCAAGCCTCTCCCCTCTAACCTGCCTCTTTTCCTTTCAGTCCATCCTGCCTCCTGCTTCAGCCCCAGAGCCTGTGATCTCGGCTGGCAGTTTCTGAGCTCCGAGCGCTCGGCTTCTCTGTTTTTGCGCAGCGCCCTCATTCTGCCAACCAATCGCCGAGGAGCACCACCCACCGAGCGACCGCTCATTGGCAGAAGTGTCCGTCAAGTATTCACGTCACGAGGCAGCCGGGAGGGGCGGGGCAGAACTCTCGCCTTGGCTGCCTGAGTGAGTGTGAGTGTGAGAGCGAGAACAGCCCGCAGGTCCCGAGGCGCTTGCAAGGGGACTCTGCCGCGGAAAGTTCCCAGTCCCCAGCCGCAGGTAATGGGCAGGGAATAAGAGAGGTTCCCCTGTTTGCATCAGCAAATACGAAAACATAATAGCAACAGCTGCGGTAGCCTCTCCAAGGAGCGGGGTTTCCAGTGACGCTAACATTCTTTTTCCTTTAAGGTGTTTTCCCTGCTGCTGATCGTGGAAAGAAATCACCAAGAACGGGGGAAAGTTGCCCTGGGGCCGTAGTCAGCCGGGGTTGCCTAATGAAGGGACTCTGGCTGAGATGCGCGCGGACAATTTAAATGCGGACATAAAATGGCATGTGTCAATCAGAGCAGGAGGGTCCGGAGGGGATGTGTGGGGAGGCTAGAAGAGGCTGAAATGGAAGTGTGGAGGTGAATCCCCCCCCCCCCCGTAAAGCGGAGGGATTCAGACTGAGGGACGTGGGGTGACAGCTCCTATAGACGGGTAGATGGTTGAACATCTACCCACCTAATGTCTACCCACAAAATGCTTATCTAGTAGATTAACTCGTCTGGGGGCATGGCTTCGAGCTATGAGTACCCTAGTGGAGGACTGGGGGGCTTCTTTGTAGCTTTCGCACTGGAGCCCGCCATCGTCAAACCCTACTCTAGGGCACCGGTGCCAGCACCACCCATTGCTGCGAGGCGCTTGCAATATCCCTGCGCCTTGCCTGGCCTCGCGCCAGGCAGCGGTGGGGAGCGCGGGCTTTTATTTTATTTGCCTGGTTTCTATTTCAATTTTTAATTTTTCTTTTACACTTGGCGATCCATCCCCGCCTCCATACTAGAGAGGGTGCGGAGGGTCCGTGCCCAGCCTGGGGACAGCTCTCTGGAGAATGACCGCGGGGTGGCCGCGAGGGCGGGAGGGGCGGTGAGCCGTGCAGCGGTGCACACGCACAGGGGAATAGAGTGTGCACCGCTGCGGGAATCCACAGACACGTTTGCACATTCCTGGTGCTGGCCCTGGTTCTCCGTGGCCTGGCGCTCAGCTCGGTGCGAGTCCCTGGGGAGCAGCCCCAGGATTCTGAGCGACGCGCTTGACTAGCCGCGGGTGCCCACTCCCGAGGTGCATCCACTCACCCAGGTCTCCTGAAGTTTCAAGGCGGCGCAAACCAACTCTCGGGTGCTGGAGAGTGCATTTAATGCCTATTCTCCAAGGATAAATATCGAAGTATATGTTTTAATACTAATCAATGTGCTGTCACAAGGAATAGGTTGTTTGTTTTCCGGTCCAGCCCCTTAAGTCAAAGACTAAAATGAAACCCTAGAGGCTTCCTGGTAATGAATGACCCAAGAGTAACGCCACTGGAACCTGAGGGAAGGTTCCTTGTCCACCCCCTAAGGTATGTTACATTGCCTTTGAGCAAGGAAATAGGAATGCGCGTCGCCACGCGTGATTGACACGGAGGCATGCTCGGAGCAGTCCGGAGAGTCCGTGTCTAACAGCCTGTTCCCCTAGCCCTAGGGCTCTTGCTGAGAGATGGGTTCTACCTTTAAGCGGGTAGCTGGAAAAGGAGCCAGCAAACATGGCTAAGCCTTTTGCAGCTGCAGTGAATTGACCATTCGCCAAACCCAAGCTCAAACCGCTGCAGTTTAAAATGATTTTAGCGTCACGTCTGCGGCGGAGAATGGAACGGCAGAGCAGAAAAAAGGACCTGTGGATCAATGAAAAGGGGCTCGTAGTGTATCCGAATATTAATACACTGTGGCCATCTGTGCTTCCCGCCCCTCCTCCTTCCTTCAGATCTATAGCTTTAAAATGAATTTTTTTTCTAGCTCTCAAGCTGACTCATCAGGAACCTAGAGCCCTGTTTAAAAAAATTAAAACACGACGGTAATGTTTTAATGTGTTTATTTGTACTAACGGAACACTTGTGTGTGTGTGCATGTTTACGTGTGAGAGTCGTGCCGCGGAATGACAGTGCAGAAGCAATGTGTTGGGGGAGCGGGTTTGCGTCTCGGAAAGGAGCTTGAAGTTTGAGCTGACTTAGGGCGTTTGTACAAAGCCAGCGAGCTTTCCGAGGTGGAGATGAGAACGTGGAGAGATGGCCAGATTTCCCTGTAAATAATCAGTGCATCCACTGTAACACTTGAGCTGCTTTTTTTTTTTTCCTTTTGGTGGCAGCTGTGTTTGAATGGGGACCTTCTCCAGAAACGTGGGTTACAGGCGTCTCCTAGCGGCGAAAGTAGCATAAGGCAAGCGAGATAATTTTGTCCTGGAGCCCGCCTTCGCCTTCGGTAAGACTTGCCTGTTGGGGGCTCTGCTGGATTTTGCAGGTCACAGAGGCTGGAGTCCTGGCCAGCAACTCAAAGCCAGACTCCTCCACAGGTCTGGCCCCGCTGACTTTTAGTCTCTGAGGAGCCAGCCTCTGCACCATAGGGGTGACAACAGAGTCTTCGTAGCCAAATAAAAACGATCCAGGGTCTCTGCTTTCCCTGAGAAAACTCTATGCAAGGAGACTGCAAGAGCAGTGTGTTCGCATCCAACATTTGCAGGTGGGCATTATAGTAAGGTCTTTGAAAGAAACCAGTCTTGCGATCCTGAACTCGAAAATGGTACTTAAAAATTTCCTTTCAAAAATGTCTTTTGAGCCTAACATGTATGTTTCTGTCTTAGTACTAACGAAGCAGATACCTTCCCCCTCTACCTTTCAGGATTTGTTTTCCCTACCCTACTTTGTCCCAGTATCTAGTGAAGCACAATTATCGACACAGCAGTCTGGGGGAGGGGGTGGCTTCTTTGGAGTACAGAGCAGTATGTGTACTTTGTCCCTGGACTCTGCTTTACTGATGTGCTGTGGGAGAAGCAAGCATGTGCATGCAATCTTGCAATCTTCCTCCCCTGGCCTCTGTACCCAAGGCGTGCCAGCTGTCTGTGCCACAAAAAAAACTACATGTATGGATGGGGGTGGTTAATAATCATTTGAAAATAGATTATAAAAATAATGTTTCATGAAAATCTTAGTTTATATGTGAATGTGGTAACACACACACACACACACACACACACACACACACACACACACACACACAGGGCAGAAATAAGAGAGCACCAAGGATCTCCAAGAGCATTGTAACTAAACAATAGGGTTGCTTTCTTGTCTACTGCCTCTTGCTGGAGAGGGCAAGAGAGGCAGGTTTGTTAACTAGCTTTCAGATAAATGAGTGTTTGCTGTGATTTGATATGACTCCAAAGCAATCTGTTTTAAAATCCTCTTTTCATTGTGCTGTGCTCAGAACTTTGAGAGAAAAATCTGAGGTTTTGTCATTTTGTAAGAATTGGAAGGAATGGTTTTAAATGCACCAATAAGGGTGGTTTTAAAATGTTAGGTAGCACCAGGATTGAGCTGGATGGTTCCTTGCATGTGCCACTCCTAAGAAGTTCAACCCACAGTATAAATGCCAAGGATCTGGTGTAGCTGCGCGTTTTAGTGCTAACTAAGAAAGAGGTTGTTATGCAGTAGCTTTACACAACTTAAGGGAAGGCAGGCAAGTCTTCAGGGCTAAGCTCACAGACAAAAGGATAGTTCCATTCACTTGTAGTAAAGGGTGGATGTGGATTAGAGTTTTGGAAATGATTGGTATTTTATGCTACTAGAGGTGTTTTAGTGACTAGCAGCCATGAGGCTTTGAACCCAACAGAGAACAAATCAGTTGGTCCTTATTCTTGGGAACGGGGAATGCTAGATATTCCACTACGTTCTACTGTCTTGATACTCAAATGCACATCTGTTTAACCTGGTAAGCACTGGTGTGGTTTCACATTGCAGCATCTTTCCATTCATCCAACAGGGCCAGTATTTTGTTAAATGCTAAACAGTGAATTAAAAGCAATGGATGGGCTGATGCAGGCCTCTAATGCAAAATGACAAATTGCACTTAAGCAATACATGAGCAAGAAAATGATTTATGGATTTCTACAATGGTCTGAGCAAATGAAAGCAACATGAATTATACATCCTAATGCTCTAGATATCATTTTCTAATAATATCTTTTCAGTTCAGATACTATACCTTCTTTACTATAAAGGAAATTGATCAGGGATATTTTTAAATTAGGCAATGGATTTTGATAGTGATGCCAAATACATAGAGGTGTATAATTTCTTTTGGATTTGGAATGGGGGAGTAGTGAACACCAAACCAACAATTTTCCAGATCCTTACACATTGTTTTCAGAGGAAGTGAACAGCCTTTTGAACATTTATGCTGTCCTGCCATCTTTCAAAAGGCAAAGCAACAGCTCTGACTTAGAATGGCAGTTTTTCATTGCCGCATGACCCCATTTCTGAAAAATCAGAATTTATTTCCTCACCTCACCCCTTTCTCTCATTGTACTGGGTATTGAAAAGTCTGATTTCTAAATGTCTCTTGACCTCTCCATATTTTTTTAATCCTATCTTTTTTATACTAAAAGAAATTTATTTAGTGTTTTGAAATTCATGTGAGCTAATGAAATGGTCATTCAGCTTAGTATTTGTGTGTGTGTGTGTGTGTGTGTGTGTGTGTGTGTCAGGGCCTCTTTGTGAACAAAACACTTTTCATGAGGTGCTTCAAATTACCCTAGGAATCAGACAAACTTTTATATGGTACTAGTATTTTGAGCTTGAAAATGAAAGTATTTAGTTACATCTCAGTTGTGATGAGGATTACTTGCAGCATTTTCATTTAACTGTTTGTAATTTAGAGTGGGTCTTTCTTGGTGGTATATACCATTGTCAGTGAAGTAACCTCTGCTGGGTCGCATACTTAACCAAAGGGAACCGCTAATCACCCAGAGGCCTCAAAAGTCATATTACTAAGCTTCATCTTAATTATCTAGTATCATTAAAGAAGGAAGAAGAAGAAAAAGAAGAAAGAAAAAGAAACTAAAAAAAATCCCCACTGAATCCCAGTTTCTGCCTTTGACAACATTAATAACCACTCTTACTAAAAGATTACTGAAATCAATGATGTGATTAGGATTGTAAATAAGAGCTACAAGACATCAGATTTTAAAAGCCAGCTGCTCCACTAACAGGGAGA